AGCCCTGGTTCTGGCCACTGCAGGCAGAGGTGCAGAGGTGCAAGCAGCCTGTGACACGTCCCCCCTGCTCTCTCCCCTCCTTTCAGTTCAGCAAAACTTTCTACTCCTTGTGCTTCCACAGTTGCCTGGTTTTTCCCTGAGCAAAGAGCCTCTCTGGCTTTGTGCCTGCTCTGGTCCTGACACAGCACTGCTCCATCTCCATTTCCCCTGCTGTCCTCTGCTTGCCCTCCCCTCCCCACACCTCCTGCAGGATCATCCCATGGTGCAAGGACACTCCCCTGAGGCAGGTGTGCCCAGGTCACCTGGAGCCACAACAATCCCACACACTCTGTCTTCCTGCCCTTCCACCTGGGCTCACTCTCCTCCTTTTTTGCTAATATACATAATTTTCTGGAAGAAGCAATTTATCACAGTACTTAGCTTAATGAGCCTTACTGTACATGTTCTGCCTGTAGTGATAATTTTGCATATTTCCTGAGAAATCTTGTTAATGGGGAGATACATGGCAAAACAAACATTTGTACAGCTTCCGAGCAGCTCACACACAAAGACACTTCTACTAAAACAGCAGGGATGAGACTGAACCCTTTTGGCTCCATCCTCTCAGACACCCAGCTGATGTATCTGGCTGCACTTATCATCACTCTTATCACTCTATGATGCCCAGACTGACACCAGGTCTCAGTGGGTCAAGAGTATTCCTGTGTTTAAGTTGATTTCAGTGGGACTAAGTTGATTCCAGTGGGACTACCAGATCCCCATGCAGCAGACCTGAAGCTCCCCAAACACATCCAAGGGACGCTGGGGCTCAGTGTCCCCTCTGAGCTCTGCCTGTCCCTCAAACCCTGTCCATCACCCCACCAGGCCCCTCCCAGGCTGGGGACAAGACACACCACCCAGAGTGACCTAGAGTCTGGGCTTTGCCTGCAGCCATGTCTAAAGCACAGAAAAAGGTTTTCCCAGTTTTTGGCTTGCCCTACCACAGTGTGCACCCACTGCTGAGAACAGTGTCCCTGTGGCACAGGGACACCCAGGACCCCTCAGTGCTGGGGAACTCAAGAATATCCCATACAGGAGCATGTAGGAACACAAGAGCACGGAGGAACACAAGAAGATCTCACACAGGAGGAGCATGTAGGAGCACAAAAACATCTCACACAGACAGGAGCATGTAGGAACACAAGAATATCTCAACATCTCACACAGGAGTGTGTAGGAACACAAGATCCCACACAGGAGCATGCAGGAACACAAGAAGATCTCACACAGGAGCATGTAGGAACACAAGATCCCACACAGGAGCATGTAGGAACACAAGAACATCTCAACATCTCATACAGGAGCATGTAGGAACACAAGAACACTCCTCCCCACATAGGAGCATGTAGGAACATGAGCATGTCAGAACACAAGAACACTCCACAGAGCAGAATGTAGGAACCCAAGAATATCTCAACATCTCACATAGGAGCATGCAGGAACACCAGAACACCCCACAGAGGAGCATGTAGGAACACAAGAACATCTCAACATCTCACATAGGAGCATGCAGGAACACAAGAACACCCCACACAGGAGCATGTAGGGCTCATCTGCATCACTCCTGTCACCTTCCTCCTTGCCCAGCTGCCCAGCAGAGCCCAGCAGTGAAGGTTCAGCAGTGTCTCACCCCTCCTGCTCCAGGACCCCACGGGAGCAGGCAAAGCAGCTTCCCTGCCACAGTGCTTGTGGGATCAGGACTGCTCTAAGGGCAGCCATGTCTGACCTGCCAGGGCAGCTCTGCTCCTCCCCAGCCCCAAAATCCAGCATTTCAGTGATGCTAAAACCCCTCAAGCCGAGGCAGAGCTGTGGACACAGCCACCGGCTGTCACCTGCCATGTGACAGCCCCACTCCCCACTGGCAGGGACACAGGACAGCTGAATTATTCACATGTGACCCTTCTGGATGAACAGAAGAGCTCAAAAGCACTTATGGCAATGAAAAGGGTTAACAAGGGAAAGGAAGATGGCATCTGAACAAGTGAATGTATTCATCTGCAAGGTCTGTAGGGACTTCTGCAGCCGGGGGGGTCCTGGAAAAGATGGAGACACACAAGACCTGACCTCTGCAAACTGTGCTCGACTTCACATTCGTGCCCCCAGGAGAGAAAGCCTCAGTAGGAACAGGATGGAATTAAGAGGAAGGGATGGAGAGAGGTCGTGCTGTGAGTCCTGGGGCACTGCTGCAGATTTCACTGCCACAGGAGGGGACAGGGGGCACCCACAGAGCCCGACCTGGAGCCCACCTCGCTTCCTCTCCCCTTTTATTTTTAACTCTCATCTCCCACTACTCCCACTGGCAGGAGGCAGTGCTGGGAGCAGGGACTTGGCTGTCAGGAGTGAGGATTCAGCCAGCTGGAGAGGGCAGTGGCACGGCACAAACACACAAACATCACTGGAGAAATGCACACAAAAACAGCTGTGGAGGTGAATAACAGGCACGGGGGAAAGTGCACCCCAAAAAATGGGCCCTGCCCATGGCTGGGGGTTGGAACTGGATGGTTCCTTCCAACCTAAACCACTCTGTGATCCTATAACACTGGCACATCTCCCTTGCTTCCTCCCACTCTCCAAACACCATTCATAATTATTTTACCATTTGGACCTGTGTCACATCCTGGAAATCCCAATGCCCCACTCAAGCTGAGCTGTCAGCTCTATGGCACGATGGAGCATTCACAACCCTGCATGTACACACCAGGTCACCAGGGCTGCTCCTGGGGGTGCTGGGGAACAGGACCAGCTCCAGACCCACTCCAGATGGGCAGGAAACACCAGTGACAGCCAGAGCTGGGACACCTGCACAGAAGCAGCTGTAAACAAAGCTCTGCTCAGCCTCATCCAAGGCATCCTGCACAGCCCATCCTCAGCAGCTCTCCTTCCACAACAAGAGGACATGTTTTATCTGTAAGTTAAATTTCCTATCCCTGGTCCAGAGCAGACCTGGGGGCACTACTCCCACAAGGGCACTGAATAAGCTCCAGCAAGTCTGATCCAAACCAGAGCCGAGGTTCAGAAAAGAACTGGGATTAGCATTTTGAATATCAAGTACCATTTAAAAAATCCCATTAAGACATGGAGCTCCTGTTCTGTAGAGCGGTGACTGCCCTGCATCCCCTCCTCTGCTCCAACAATGCCAGCTCTTTTTTTATTAATCCTTCCTTTTTATCATCCCTGGCAGATTTTAAGCACTGTATTAACATGGAAGGAACCAACCCAGGCTATTAATGAGGCAGCAGAGAGGATACAAGTTCAAACGCTCCTGACTCTGTGTCCACTGCAGCATCTCGCTCCTCCCTGGTGTCTGCCAGCACCAAGGGTGTAAATCCACACTGCCTCACTCACTGCAGTCCTGCCAGGGGGCACCCACTCACATTCGGGGCAACTGGATGCTCAAAAGCATTCCTCCATCCCCAGGAGTCCCCGGGAAGAATGCTGCACCCTCAGCATGAGGCTGATGAATAAGGAGCAGCAGCAGGAGTGAGGCGAAAACACATTTTATTTTTCTTAAGGCGTATTTAAAGGAACAGAGAAATTTTAAAATACTCCATGGCATCACTTCTCAGCCAGCAACGGCTGCCAAAAGGACATTCATGAGGCTTCTTTTTACTATTATTATTAAAAAGCCTGCTTTCCAATCCCATTTCACAGCCTGTGCTGGTGGTGGAGACAGAGCCCCATGTTTGGGTGTTTTCCAGGCAGAGTGGGGAGGCAGCTCTTGCGGGAGCCTCTTCCTTCCCCGGAATCCACAGCCACCCACAGTGAGCCCTGGGCGTTCAGAGCTGCCCATCACCTCCTCAGCCCCTCGCTGCCATCACCCCAGCCCCATCCTCCGGGGGTTTTTTCAGACCAAACCAAACTCGCAGCCAAGCGATGCTGGTGGCAGCTCTGATGCCCGACCAGACTGGACACCACGCTGGTCCCCAGTGCCCCTCGCTCTATGGCAGAGTCCTCCCCACGGGACAGAACCCCCTGCAATCCCACGCGGCTCTGCAGCGCCAACCGTGAAGTAATTTTAAAAAAATAATGCACCAAAATTAAAAAGGAAAAAAAAAAGGAAAAATAGGAAAAAAAACCCGAAACAAGAAAAAGCACTGGAAGGGAGGACCGGGGTGGTACAGGGCGGGGGCTGGAGCAGCACTCCGGGATTTCGGGCTCTGCCCCTCCGGCCACTGCCGCTGTGCCCAGGGCTCGGCCCCAGCGTGGGCAGCAGCACCGCGGCGGCCCCGAGGGTGCCGCAGGGGCCCGGGCATGGGCAGCGGGGGCACCGGGGGCTCCTTCCACCGATGCTCCGTGCGCGCAGCCGCCGCCACCTCCCACCGCCCGCGCCCCGGGCTGGGGGGCTCGGGGCCTCCGCGGGACACAGGGCCGGCCACGGCCGCACACGGAGCCCGAGGCCTCCCCGACAGGCCGGGTCACGGCGCCGGGGTCAGCGCGGTGCAGCGGCCGCAGGCGCCCCCCGGCCCCGCCGCAGCGGCTGCGCCGGAGGATGAGCACGCAAAACGGGAGGGGAGCGGGCGCGTCACGGTCCTGGGGAGCACGGCACGGCACGGCACGGCCCCGGGGAGCACGGCACGGCACGGCACGGCCCCGCGGGCAGCCCCCGCCCGCACCGCTACAAACACACGTCCGTATCTGCTCCTCCCAGCGGCGATGCTGCTCCGCGGCCCCGGCACCGCGCAGATCGCCGCTCGCACCGCCCGAACCCGGCAGAACGCAGCGGTGCGCGGTGTGCGGACGGCGCAGCCCGGGGAACCCCCCCACCCCTCTAATCCCGACATCCCGGCCGTGTCCGGGGGGCTCATCCCCTGCTGCCAGCCCCCGCCCAACCCCCTCGCCGCCGCCGTTCAGGGCAGGGCGGCCCCTGCGCAGGGAGGGGGGCCCAGCCGGCTTCGGGCGGTCCCCGATGGGGCAGAGGGCTGCCCGCATCCCCCGCAGCCCCCGCGGCGCCCCGCACTCACAGCGCGCAGCTCCCCGGTCCGGTCCTTCATCCTTGCCCCGCTGCCGCTGGGAACGGGCAGAGCGCGGGGAGGGGCGGGCGCCGAGCATGCGTGCGGCGCTGCGGAGAGGGGCGGGGGGACACCGCGGGGACCCGGCCATGGCGCGGGGGACCGGCAGGGGGACACTGCCACGGGGACACTCACATCTCGGATCAGACTGCGGGGAGGCGGCACGCGGGGTCTCGCATCGCGGGGAGGCCACCGGAGGAGGGGATGGCACAGCTGAGAAGGTCACAGCTGTGACAAGGGGATGTCACCGGGGGGGTGGGGGTCGCGCCCGGCGGAAAATGAGGTGTCACAGCTGCGGGTCACACCCAGGGGACCTCACATGTGGGGGCGTCTCATCTACGGGAAGGGGTCTCGCTGGGAGGGGTCCACGCGAGAAGGTCGCAGCTGCGGGTCACACCCAAGGGACATCACATTTGGGGAGGCCACAGGAGGCAGTCACATCTGGGGATAACATCGGGAGGGATCCCACCTGGGGAGGTCATACCTGTGGGCCATCACATCACGGTGCTCTTAAGCGTGTGGAGGGACGCACAGCAGGGCAGCCCCAAGAGCAGGGTCACCCCTGGGTGTCCCTGGGGCGGTGGCAGTGGTGCTGGGGCTCCTGCAGACGGCGAGGTTTGGTGGCACCAACAGGACCGGCTGGCTCTGCCCCCCAGCCTGGGGACAAGCAGGGCATGTTGGGGGATCCACCCTGAGGACCCCAAAACCAGGCCCGCAGGGAGCAGAGAAGTGCCAACAGGGGACAGACGCTGCCAGTTTGTGGAATCTCCCATAGCCGGGGCCTGCAGGTTCCTGCAGGTCCTGGGGCCATCGCATCCAACCGCGGGGCCACGGGTCACGGTTCCGCAGCCCGGCAGTGTCCAGCATCCCTGGGGTGCCCGGGGCTGGGGTACTGGGGTACCCTGGTGAAAAGGCTGGGGGTCTCCCCCATGGGTGTTACGGCCAAACTCAACACAGCTCACCCTGTGTCCAGCCCCACTCATGCCTCACTGACCTGCACACCCCACACACTACTCCACACATCACCCCACACACCACTCCACACATCACCCCACACATCACCCCACACAACACTCCACACAACACTCCACTCATCACCTCACTCACGTCCCCACACATCACCCCACACAACACTCCACTCACCCCTTTCACTGCGCACTGTCCCACATACCACGCACGGCACCCCTCGCCCCGCACAGCTCCACTCTACCCTGTTTACCCCGCACTGTTCCGCACAGCCCCGCTTGCCCCACAGAACCCCACTTTCCCCGCACTGCCCCGATTACCCCGCAGAGGCGCTTTTACCCCACACAGCCCCGTTTTCCCCACACAGCCCCGGTTACCCCTCACATCCCCGTTTTCCCCTCACAGCCCCGGTTACCCCACACTGCCCCTCTCTCCCCACAAAGGTGAACCCGGCCCGGGCTCCGAGCGCGCCTCTGGGGCGCGGCGCCCCCTGGCGGCCCCAGCCAGAACCTGCGGAGTCGGTCTCCGGCACCCCCGGCAGCTCCGGTACCCCCGGTACCCCCGGTAACCCCAGTAGCCCCGGTACCCCCGGTACACCCGGGGCGGAGTTCGGGCTCCCTTCCCGCTCCTCCGGGAGACCTCATCCCCCTGGGGCAGCCCCACCGGATTACACCAGGGCCACCCCAATATTCCCATATTATCCCATGCGTGTTTTTCCCCTAATTACCCATATCCATCCCTTTAACACCTTTGCTTCCTCTCTAAAATATCCCATAATAAACGCTGTTCCCTTGGGCTTTCCTGGAGAGCTGTAACCATCAGGGTCAAGGCTTCCTGCAGGGGAAGGGCCCATCTCCCTCCTAGAGATCTGAAACTCCTGCTCCCAGCCATACATGTATTAGCATGAATACCAGCTCCGTGCATGCCAAGAAGTGAAACAGGAACAGGATTTTTGGCCACCACCATCCAGGTGCCTTTAAAGAGCTCTGATGTCAAGGGACACCTGTGGGCACTTCAGCTGGGAGTGCAGGAGCAGGATCCCATTGTGCTGAGAGGTCTCATTGGTACTTTAGCAGAACTTTAGCACTGGGCATGGTTTAGGTGCTGGGCACAGCTCAGGTGAAGGCACAGCTCAGGTGATGGCACAGCATTTCTCCTGCTGGTGCTGCACTTATTTACTGACCCAGACCTTGTTGCTGTGAATCACTCCAGTGCCAGGGATGGTCTCACTCATGGAAGGATGTACAAAGCCACCATCATACTGCAAGGGAATGACCTTGTCTGGTGTCAGAGCAGCCCTCCAGCGCCCACCATGAGGTTTCATCTCCCCTAACACCTCTCAGCACCCTGTGGAGGGAAGAGGCTGTTCCCAAGATGGTTCCATGTGTTCCACACTCTCCGTGCTCTGGCTCCTTGTGTCACATGCTCTCCAAGCTCAGCCTTCTGCAAGGCAGGTGGGAAGGATGAAGGTTCTAGACACAGTTCTGTCCTTGTCACTCCACAGAGCCAGGACACCATGCTCTGGCTGCCCCAGCTGAGACTGGGCATGAGTGCAGCCATGCTTTTGGCTATTGCCAAACTGGAGCACCTTCCCATACTGGAGCTAAGGGCTGGCAGCTCATCCTGCCTGTCCCCTTGTGTCACTGCTGTGGCCCCACACTTGGCTCTCTCCCAGCTGCCACAGATCAGCAGGCTGGGCAGATCTCTGGCACTAACACTGGGCTACCAGAACAGGGCAGGTCCACAGCCTGCTCCACCCCAGACCTTGAGCATGACCACCCCACCTCCATGTGAAGGACCTTTTTAGCCAGATTTCATCTCAAGAGGCTCATGAATAAACATTTTCCTCCTCTTCTGAGCTCTGTGGAATGCTATGGAAGCCAACATTCACACTTTGAAAACTTCTCTGCCTGCTACACAACAGCATTTTCCATTTCCAGACCCCACAGCTTCCCACCTCCAGGAAGGCCTGCAGGTCCCCTCTGTGCTGGCTGCCACCACCCACTTCAGGGCTCTTCTGTGTGGCAGGGTCTGACCCAAAGAGTTGAGACATGGCTGTGGGGTGATTGGTCTGCCAAGAGTTCTGGGCATGCAGGGGCTCATGGAGAGGATCACACAGCTCCTCACTTGTGCTACAGGCTTGCAAATCCAGGGAGCCAGAGGCACAGCTCACTGGAACAGTGCCTGTGCCTGCAGCACTCGGGGTATGGATGGACTTTCAGGTGTTAAGCAGCCCAAAATGCAGCACAGAAACCCAAAGACACACGAGGAATTACAGAGGTGCTTTGAGCAGAGGCTGCAGATGGCTGGTGCAGCTGCAGCAGATCCAGGATCAATCCTGTCATTCTCAAGGACTTGCCTTTATCAGGAGACAGAACCACAACTGCCAATGGAGGAGTTCAGACACACACAAGGGGGTGCAGAATAAATCCTCAACAGAAACACAGAGAAAAGCAAGTGCTGGGCTCAGGGTGAGGCTGACAGTGCAAACGTGATGGAAATCCAGAGTGCAGCCCTGAGCTGCAGCTTGGCTGTGAATCAGAAACCACCTGAAGCTGCTCATTCATTCATTTTCAGTCACTGCTGTCACTTCAGGGACACTATTCACTTCGGAGGGACAGGACAGAGATCCTGGAAGAGCTGCTGGAAGTTATTTGTCGAGGATTAGGCTGGAAAGCTGTTCATGGAGGAACAGACCAGAGTCACAGAGCACATCAGTGCTGAGGGAGCCAGGGAGGCATTCTCTGTGCCAAGAACACAGGCCAAGTCCTGTGGCATAGGAGAGACAGGATCTCAGAGGCAGGGAAGGGATGAGGTGGATGGGCCACTCCACACCACCTCTCTGCAAGGGAGACTCACCCCTCATCCCACTCAATGCCCACAGGGAGATGCCAGGGAGGGCAGGAACAGCACAGGGGAAGGTCCATATGACCACAGTCCATATGACCAAGTGGATCCAGCTGGAGGTTCTGTCTCCCTGCTCAAGGGAAGCAGGTATGTCAGTGCCAATTGCTCAAATGCTTGTCTCCATGCCAACAGACATTAAAAGTTGCTTTTGGACAGCTAGCACAGGCTGCAATCCCATTTGTCCAAGGATGGGAAGATGCTGCACCAGGGTCTTTCCAGGGACAGGACTCCTGTCCCCACTCAGCAAACAGGGAGATGATGTTGCAAGGAAGGGGAACTGTGCCATGACTTGGAGAAGCTGAGGCAGGACACTCAGAAAGGCATTGGATGGGGGTGGAAAATTGGGAAGAACTGCGTGCTGTCAAAAAGTCAAAATGGGACAGGACATGGGAAACAAAGGAAAAAGAGAGGTGACCAAGGAGAGGCAATTCAGCCTTTTGAACACATCTGTGGTGAAAAAAAACCAGACATTATAAGGGCTCATTATTTCCAGCAGCAGTAGGAAAAGTAGAAATTCTTCTCTACAGCTTGTCTCATCTCTCATTCCCAATCCCATGTCCAGAGCCATAAGAGCATCATGGCATTCACAAGAACATGAGCAGAGGGAACAAGATTTCCCAGGGAGGGGCAGAGTGGGACAGGAATACCCCAGAGAAACAAGTATCACCTAAAAGGAATCACAGGCTCCCTCCACCTCCTCATGCCTCCAGCAGCAGCCTGACAACACACTCAGGTGCAAGCTGCCACTGCCAGTGCCCTGCACAGGAAAATTTCCTACAGAAAAAAGAAAACATGTGATAGGGATGATCTGTATTCTCTGTCTTTATGTAAGGAACAAGTTGAAAAACATTTCTCAGGTTTTTCACAGATGAGCATCTGTCATCTGTTACACTGCCTGAAGAAATTCGTGCATTGTACCTTGATATTCAGCCTGACCTTCCTGGATTTCTAAGGTCACACTAAGCCATGGGAAACTCACCTTCCCCACCTTCACAAAAGCTGATTCTCTCATTCTCAGATCTGGAAGTCTTGAAACAACCTGGAATCACACACCTCCAAGACAAGTTTCACTTTCGCGCATTGTAGAAATCCTGCCAACTGTTGTGAAAGTCAGATGATTTTTAGTACAAGAACTTGTGAATAAATTATAGAGAAGTCTGATTCTGTCAGTCCCTTCTGATATTCTGTGTTACTCTAGAAAATGATTTTGACAGATGAGAGAGAAAGGGAAGCATCTTCAGCCTGCACGGCACTAGGGTTCACTTAAAAACCTCCTCAAACCAAAGCAGTGAGGGATATTCAATCAAACCAAAGCAATCATTTCAGTGCAGGAACAGGGCACATGGACATTTATTTCTTGACTGATCCAATGAAGTGGGATTTTGCTCAGGTCAGCTCTACTCTGCCGTGCATTGAAATATTGGCATTAACTGCAGAGAATGTGGGCTGCACCTTGGGAGAACAGTGAGCATTAATAAAACAGCAGCAGGGGGTGAGAGGCAAACCAGCCCAGAACTTCCCTTTGCTGCTGGAAGCCTTCCTCTGCTACTCCAACCCTGTGGCTAAAATTAAAACATATTGATCCAACAATCAACCTCCAGTAGGGATTTAATAACGAGCACTTAAACCCTGTGGTGCAAATAAAATACTCCTCCCCTCCCCACACACCAGCCAGGGGCAGGACAGGTCTCTGTAGCACATGGTCCTGCTGCAGCTCCACACATCCCAAACCCCCCATCTTGGTGCACATCCCAACATCCTTCCCAAATACCTGTCCTGGTGCACCTTCCCACCATCCTTCCCAAACACCCCTCTTGATGCACACCCCAGGGTCCTCCCCAAGCACCCCTCCTGGTGCACATTCTAGTGATGTCCCCAAAATCCCCTCTTGGTGCACATCCCAACAGCCTTCTCCAACATTCCTCCTTGTGCACATCCCAGTGTCCTTCTCAAACACCCTCCTGGTGCACATCCCTACATCCCAGCATCCTTCACAAAGGAAGGGTGACACTCCTGGTGCGTATCCCCAGCCCTGGGACAGGGCCAAGCCTAATGCACCATTTGAGATTTCCTGGCAAGTCCCCAGTTTGGAGTTATCACAGCCCAAACCTTCCTCCACTGAGACCAAAACCCATTCCTGCAGTCTGACTTTGGTGGGAAGCTGTTCCAATCATGTGAATGACTCATCTCTAGATTTTTTTTTCTGTTACATTTACACTGGAATTTCTAATGGATGTTGATTTGCATCATCCAGGCTCTGTCAACTGCCCACATCCTTTTCCTCCATCAAGCTATCATTCCTGCCATTCCCTTTTGTTTGCACAGCTCATTCAATTCGACCTTGGAAGGCCCTGAGGGCCTTTGGGCTGAGTCCTGCCCCCAGGCAGCCCAAAGCACCGGTGAGGCTGCTGGATTCAGCCTTGGACAGATGCCCATTCAGCTGGAAGTTCAGTTGGCTCTCAAAAACCCATCCTAGCACCAGTCTGCTCAAAGGAAGAAGCAGACAAAGCCCCAGAGAATCCAGCTATGCTGCTGCAGCTGGTGTAGCCAAAGCTGGGGGGCTGCCAGCCATGCACAGACCCCCGAGTCTCACTGCTAGACCCACTGTGGGACCCCCAAGGATCTGCAGCAATTCCTGGCCTGTGCCTGCTGCAGGCTCCTCCTGCCTTCCCCGTGCAGTTCAGGGGTCCCCTGTCTCGTTAACTTGTGCCCACCCATCCCAAGCTCTTGTGCACCCACAACAGTCCTTCCTCTCACTTCTCCTGTTGAGTTTCCCTGTATGGGCACCCCTCTGGTGAGAACTGTAGGGACACTCCCAGCAGTGACTTCCTCATGGCTCCAGGGAGGACATTGGTCTCCCCTCCTGCCTGTCCCCAGGGCCCATCTCCTCTTCAGGCTCCCTGTGCACACCTGGGAAATGCACAACCCCACTCCAGTCATAGAATCATAGATCCATGGAACAGTTTAGGTTGGAAGAGATCCTAAAACTCACTTCATTGCAATCCTCTGCCATGGGCAGAGACACCTTCCACTAGACCAGGTTGCTCCAAGTCCTGTCCAACCTGTCCTTGAACACTTGCAGGGATGGAGCAGCCACATCTTCCCCACCCTCACAGGGAAGAATTTCTTCCCAATATCTCACCTAACCCAGCCCTCTGCCAGTGGGAAGCCATTCTCCCTTGTCTTGTCACTCCAGGCCCATGTAGATGGTTTGTCTCCATCTTCTTGTCAGCTCCACTCAGGAACTGGAAGGCCACAATTAGGTAACACCAATTAAACAAACACAGCTCTTCTTTTTTCCAGGCTGACCAATCCCAATTCTCATAGCCTTTCCTCATAGGAAAGGTGTTCCATCCATCACTCTAATCAACTTGGTGATCTCCAGTTCCAGCTGTGCACCCCTCCTCTCCAAGCCAGATTCCTTGGCAGGCTCAGAGCACAAATGCCAGCTGTGACTAAAAGACCAGTGACATTTTCATATGTGTACATGTATATGGAAATTTGCTAGTTTAATTTATAAAAGTGCAAATTCAAAGAGCATTTGCTGAGGGGACTCTTCAAACCAGCTTTTACCAGCACCACTTTATTCTGCCAGGCCAAGGAGGCTGCAAGCATGACAGTCAAGAACTGCAGTCTCTTATTTTGGAAGAACTGCTTGCTTGGTTCTAGTAATTTTTAATTTTAAAATTTTCCTCTCGAGGTTCTCTATCCAGAGTTCTGAGTAGCAAAAGAATATAATTATGTAAATCTTAGTGCATCTCACACTCAGGACACTAAATCCTGCCATAATAACTGGGCAATGAGTCAGGAACCCAACCTCATCAGAAAATTCCACTCTAACAGGATCTGCCATTGGCATCATCTTAATTAAAAAGGTGTTTTGTTCCTTTATTGATAAAAAATTTATTCTTGTAACCTCTTAACTCCATCCTGAGAAGCATTTCAGAGAAATGCAGTTCAGCTGTTGGTGAGAAGCACCACAAAAACACCCAGAAGAGTGTGATAAACACACAAGGCCACAACATGAATAATGATTAAAATGAAAAGATAACAAGTGCTACATACTCACTGAATGCTTTTCCTCCTGGGTCAGTCACCACAGACCATGACAGAACACAGAGATCAGTTCTGCTGCTCCAGCACCACATGTGGTACCTCCAGAGTGCTCACATCAGCAGCAGGCACATCACCCAGCTCCAGGCCAAGGACACTGCTCTGCTGCACAGGCCAGCATCATCCAACACATCCTGGCAGCCTCCTCCATCAAAATGAGGGGCAACAGGCAAGGAAGGTGAACAAAAATCCACTTATGATTGCAACTGCCAGATAGATTCAAGCTGCCAGACAGATCTAGGAATTACAGCAAAGGTCAAGCAAGAACAAACTCTGAGAGTTGCTGATTCCTTTTTAGGGTTTGTTTTCTCACTGAAGACTGGGACAACCTCAAAAGGGTATGAAGGGAGTGAGGAAAATAATGGAGCACCAGGGAATAAGGGGATGTTCCAATAACCACACATGGCTGCAACCACGAGTCTCTTGTTCCCTGTGAAGGAGGAATGTGCAGAGCAAAAGTAGAATGGCCAATTCATATTTCATATCATGCCTCTGCATCCTAAATTCACAAGACACATTCAAACCTGCATGGTCTGAGCCTGAGATTTCTCTTCCCATCCTTTGTTTGGAACAGAAAACACATGGAAATGTGACTTGTGCACAAACCAGCACAGTACTGTCAGTCTGCAGGGAGCAATGTTCCTCTGAACTTGAGACAGAAATAAAAACAGGGGAAAGAAAAAGAGAAAATAACAGAAGAAACTGGTAAAGAGTGGGTAAACACAAGCTTTCCCAGGAAGCACCACAGTGTTCTGCAATCAGAGGTGCAACAACGAACCACCAACAAATATCAAACCTCAAATGAACAGCTTGAACAGTTCAAAGTTCAGCTGCTGTGCAAATGTTATCAACTGCTCTCACTGTCTGCAAACCTTCCAACCCCCAAAGCTCTGTGGTGAACTAAGGAGAAGGTGTGTTTTCAATTGTGTTCCTGAACAAAGAAACTTCCTGCTCACCACTGCAAAGCCAGACCTTATGAGCACACAAGAAAATGCAGAATGTAATCCTTTTGTCCAGTTCTCCATCTATCTTCTTTTGCTTTAATTTCATGTATTACATGTGGCAGAGAGCTCTCTCTCTAGGAATGAATCAGTCTTAAGGTAGAGGTGGATGGATTAATTTTACTATTGATTGTCCTGTACAAAACAGCTAACAACAATTATCAGCATTTCTCAAGAAGTCATCTACTCATTCCATTAATCTCAAAAAGCATCCATGCCTTGGCCTTCAACATCACCCTCTTCTCTAAGAAGAAAACTAAATTTACAGTTTTTCTCATTATTTCCTTTTCAATCCCTGAAAAGGTGTTACAGGGTTCACAGGTTCCATGCCAGTATTTCAGAAGAAATGAGAAAAACTGGCTGTATGTTAGAGCCTGGTAACAAAGGGCCTTGAAAAACAGGGCTCCTTCCACAGATACCCATGGAAATGCAAATTCTGGGTCTGGAGGTGTTACAAGCTCTCTCCCCCATCCAAGGAAAGCAACAAAGGAAGGGCTTCTGAAGCTTCCAGGCACCAGCACTGGGACTCCTGCTGAGGGGGGGGAGCTTGTGTTGGAGGGAGGATGCCTCCAAGCAGCAGCAGAGGTGAGGCTCATGGCTCCAGTGGCTGGGGCAGAGCAGAGGCAGAAGTGCTGATGAGGTCCTGGGGAAGGCTCTCCCGCGCTTCCTGCATCCGGCGCCGTGCCCGCTGGAAAGCCTCTGCAACACAGAGGTGACAGCAGGCCAGAATGCATGAGACAGCCTCGGGGAAGGGGAGGGATGTGTCTTTTCAGTGAACATCATCTCTCCTGGGGCAGGATCCTACTTTCTATGAATAGGTTACACCTCCAAAGCACCTGTGCTGCTCCACCTGCTGCTCTCTGATTTCTGTCCACAATGGAATCAGAGAGAGTGGTGCCTTAGTGCCATCAGCTCTGCCCAGTCCAGGCTGTGCCCTCACACAGTGATTATCCCTCCCACCTGCTCAGAGCTGATGCCTCCTAAATTGTCCAGCTCAGGGCAAAACATTTAACCTCTGCCATGGACTTTGAGAGCTCACAGGGTGGGGAACCACTCCCACAGTAATGGATTATCCTGAAATATCCTGCCCACTCTGTAAAAAGGGAGCCAAAGCTCACCAAGACAGAATGACACTGAAGGCCCTACCCAAAACATTGTAGACAGAGCTCTGCTGGCTGAAGCCTCCCAGTCGGTCCAGCACACTCTGCATGCGCTGTCTCAGGGCACTGTTCTCCAGAAAGGCTCTGCACAGAAGCACACCAGCAGGTCAGGGCTGCCAAAAGCAGCACAGGAGATGGAGCTGATGGAGCTCACACTCCCTTTGCTGCACTCACCTGGACTGCTGCAGGCAACAGAGCCGGAAGGTGACGCTCCCTGTGGTCTCTGTCCGGAAACCAAAGCGGCTCAAGCGCTTTCCCTGCAGGGATGGCACAGGTTAGAGCAACCCCACAGTGAAAACAAACATGTTCCACCAGAGCACAAACTCCTGTGGGCACAGTACTCCCTTCCCTGCAAGGCTGGAAAGAAGGGCACATAGTTCCAGGCTGTGTTAAGGGCAGGACCTAAACACTTGCAAGCTGACAGTGCAGTGCTGGGGCAGGGCTTCAACAACTGCTTCAGGGCTTGTTCCCACACACAGCTGCCACTAACATCACCCTGCTCATTACACCAGCAGCCACCTCTGCAACTTACTGAAGAACATGAAGTTTCTACCTGCCTCACACCCATCAGCTTCTTGCTTCAGGAAGCTGTTCCAGGCATAATACAGCCCAAATTCCTCACAGAAACCCAGGAGCAGTCTACAGCTGGTACCAAATGCTGACCTGACAAACACTGTATAGGCAGAGGCAAGACAAGGCTTTGGCCCATGCTCCCCTACTTCTCTAAGCTGCTCACCCCTCAGAAGGCACAGCTCTGCCTCAGTGTTTGCTCATTCCTCTGTTCAGGATTACAAGACTCACAGAGAAGACATTTCTTTAGTGAGAGGGACAAGACCAGCAGCTCATCCTTGTTCAAATCTGGTCCAGGCTGACCATGGGACACCTGAACACAAGAACAAAATGCACCACATCCTGGCAAGAGGCTACTCTGCAGCTGAGCCCACCTTGAAGGTCGATGGTATCCGGATGTAGGTCAAGTCCTCCAGCTCAGGAGATCCCCCAATGAAAAACCTCCTCATTTCAGCAACAGGTCCCAGACCCACGGGACGCCAGGTAGGGATGGTGAGCATGTGGACACCTGGCCCAGGACAAGAGGACAGCTTAGCTGCTGTGACCTGTGATATATTCAATCACAGAGGACAGCAAAGGCAGGTGAATACCTGCTGACCCAACCCAGAGCTGTCTAGAAATGGAAACACTGCACAGTATCAGAAATGTTCTAGAAGCATGTTCCCATTGAGTCAGCCCATTCTAGTCACACAGCCAGTGCTGAAAGTACCCTCTGCCCAACAGCAGCATCTCCCCATAACACACAGGGGTCACTCCAGATCCCCTGTGGGACACAGAGGGTTACTGCCATTGTACAGGTGGATGCACAGCATCACCCAGAGCTTTATCACACCACAGGTTGTGATGGCAGTATCAAAGGATCAAGGGCAGGAGCTCCAGATGTGCCTCATATTCTTCTTTGCTGCACCCCAGACAGCTGACTGCTCCCTTGAGTACACCAAGTCCCTGGGACTGCCTGAATCACTGCCCAAGAGGAACCACTCAACTCATTCTCCCAGACAATTAACAATTGTCCCAAGAATGCTTTACCTGGAGATGTTGGCAGCACCAAGGACCCATATCCTTCCACACGATACCTCTGCCAGAAATCCAGGGATAGGACCTCAAAGTAGAGAACAGGCCACTGAGGGAGACTGTCTGCAAGATGGGGAGCAGGTCACAGTTTTGGGAAGGAGACTATCAGTGAGAAAAAGAATGCTAAATGCCCAACTCCACTAGTAGGAAGCCAAAGAATCAGAGAATCATTTAGCTTGGAAAAGACCTCCAAAATCTTTGAGTTTAACCTGTGACCAATCCCCACCTTGTCACTCAGACTAGAGCACTGAGTGCCACCTCCTGTCCTTCCTTGGATACCTCCAGAGATGGGGACTCCATCAGCTCCCTGGGCAACCTGACACCCATCACAGGAAGAAATCCCTCCTAGTGTCCAGCCTGAACCTCCCCTGCAGCAGCCTGAGGTTTCCTCTTGTCCTGCCCCTTGCTCTCTGGGAGTAGAGCCCAATCCCCAGGTGGCTCTACCCTCCTGTCACAGGATTGTAGAGTGAAAAGGTCCTCCCCAAGCCTCCTTTTCTCCAGGCTGAGTCTGCCCAGCTCCCTCAGCTATTCCTTGTGCTCCAGACCCTTCCTCCAGTTCTGCTCCCTCTCTGAACACACTCCAGCACCCTTCCACTACAGTCCTTTCTGTATTTCTTCTACAATGACTAACAAAGATTTATGGTTGATTATTAGTTTCTCCTGTAAAAGCTGAACCCTCAGATTTGAGGCTGAAACAGAATTATTGAAGATAAAAATTAGGGAAAATTCTTTAAGAGCAAGTCCAGACTGGGCTGTCAATTATCTTTGAGCAGTCAAGACAATCTTTTGTGAATGATCTGAAGTCAAACAGCAGAACCTGTTTATCTCTGACCTTTCCCACTGTTATTGGGGGAATATTAACTTGGATTCTCCTACATCTCTCCAAGCATTTCTTTTTTCCACAGTGAAACAAACTCATTTTGCTTCTTCTAGTCTGAAAATTCATTAGTGTTGGTTGAATACCCAGATCCAAAGTGTACATTGGATTCAAGTGGCAAGGCATGCCACAGTGCTGTCCCCAGCAATTGCATCCACAGAGCAATAGGATTGGTGAAGAAGTAGCAGGAACAGGCAGAAGCTCAGCTTAAAATAGAGCTGAAGTTTCAAAGTGACATGAACTATCTAGGGATTATACAGGTCACTGAGCACGTCTACAAATGTAAGACTCAGCACAGAGTTTTAGCTGTGTATAAAAAAGCTGCCTGGTTCTCCAGCTGCAGCATCCCAGGGCTCTGTGCAGGCACAGCAACACAGCCCTGCACTCCAGGTTTAAAGAGACAAGCCAAGATCTAAGCAGTTTTCCAACTGGATGAAACTGCCTACAGCCTAGAAACAAGGCAACATCAATGAATCCATAAAAATGCTAATGGATTCCTGGGCAAACACAGGGTATGTCCAGGGGCTGCATGGTGACAGGGTGAACTTTTGTTGAACCAGAAACATTTCCCTCTATCCTTTCATCTCCAACAGGACAGACAGCATGACAGCTACAGTGGGACCAAAGGCTTTCAGAGTAACAAGGAAACACACCTTCATCTTCTTGGGTGTAAAACATGTCCACAGTGAAGGGGTAGCAGAAGTATGCCACATTATCCTAGAAAAAGAACAGGGTGGAGATCAGATTCCTGGAGAATTCATCACCAGCACTGCAGAGGGCATAGAAAGCTGGGAGAAAGGAACGAATGGTAGAAGGCAGGTGATGCTGCCCAAAAAGATTAATTACATCCCACTAACAAACATGGGACCTGCATACATTCCCTAGTGCCATGTCAATGGAATAGGATGTTGAAAATAATGGAAAAGGGGAGTGACACACCTCAAATGAAAACTCAGTCAATTGCATAACTACAGGGCAGCCTCAAACTTTACAGGAACCAAGCCAAGCAGAGTAACTCAAACAATCGTATTACTAAAATGCTGTATGATAACTATTTTTGTAATATGAAAACATATAAAATAATTAAAAAGCTGATAAAATTCAAAATCAACGTAGAGTCTCTGCACATTCCTGCCCCAGGCAAGATGGAACAATGCTCGGTTAACTCAGAGCATTGGAGAACATAAAAATCAAAGCTCCAAAGGCAATCAGTCAGCAAGAATGAATAAAAAAGTGAGATTCCAGAAAATGTTTGGGAGTAGTTTTATTTGATTCAGTTTTATTTGGAGAAAGTGAAAGAAATTTGGATCTTTGAAAAAATGACAAGCATAATTAGAATAAAGAGAATCCCAAACATGCTCTGGTTTTGAAAGGAGCCCCCAACTCAGAACATTTGCTGAATATATCTGTAGTTTGTTACACATGTTCCACTCCAGAAACTGCCTGTTCAAATTGCTCTGCAGGTCTGAAAGTGTCCTTACCCAGCCCACTGCCTTGGTGGCACAGGTCTGTGTCACTCCTGAGAGCTGCTGGAACGGGGAGCTTGACCACTCTGCAGGGGACAGGAGAAGATGCAGGCTTGGGGTGAGGCCAAACTCACAAACCAGAGCAGCTCAAATGGGAATGTGATGACTGATGACTGGGGTAAAAAGTAACATCACCCACCCTGACATTCACAGAATCACAGAATCAGTAAGGTTGGAAAAGCTCTCCAATATGATCAAATCTAACCTGTGACTGATCCCCACCTTGTCTACCAGGCCAGAGCATTGAGTACCACATCCAGCCATTCCTTGGACACCTCCAGGGATGGAACTCCACCACTGCCCTGGGCAGCTCCTTCCAATGCCTGACCACCCTTTCCACAGAGAAATTCTTCCTCATGTCCAACCTGAACCTCCCCTGGTGCAACTTGAGGCTCTTTCCTCTTGTCCTGTTACGTGTCTGGGAGCAAAGCCTGACCCCTACCTGGTTCCACCCTCCTATCAGGGAGCTGTAGAGAGAAGGTCCCCCCTAAGCCTCCTCTTCCCCAGGCTCTCTCAGCTGTTCCTCAAATGACTTTTCCCTGTCCTGTTGCAGGCACTGCTCTTTAGAACACCCTGAACTGTCCATGAAAAGAACCAATTCAGGTCAAGAGAAAAGCAGAGCCTTATCTAAATGTACTGAGTAGCAGAAGTGGTATCTTGACAGATATATCCAGAGAGGGGAGGCAGAGCCATAGCTTTAGGAGAATTAAACATGCAGCAGGATATGCATGAAAGTGCTGGGAACCTTATTTATCCATCAAAATTTAGTATGTTAATATCAGCACAAAGCATGATGGCAAGCACTGAAATCAGACAAGGTCACTGTGGTGGGGAGCACAGGGAGGCTGCTCCATGCAAGATAAAGAATAAAGTTTGGACAGACTGGTCACCACCACCTCTACCTCCCAGCCTGAGCTGAGTTCTGCCATTTTAGCTCTGAAGGCCTCTAACTAGATCCCAGCCTCAACATTAATTTTTGCTGACTCCCAGCAGAGCTTGTCTGATGAACCAGCCCAAGCCTGTTTCACCTCTTCAGCTGCTGTGATGTGGCTGGGAATGTGAATACTCACGGTCAGGCAGCTCCAGGAAGAAATGCACATAAAGGTTGTCATACTCATAGCCTTGGGCTGAAACTGAGGAGAGAGAATGAACTTCAGCTTCAACCATACAAATTCTTCCAGCATGCACTGTAGATTTTTGGGAGAGCCACCACCAATAACCTCAAGGAAAATCAGTTACTGCAGAAAGCTAGGAAAAGCCTTCAAAGTAACAGGAGATAACCCACAGAGAAGATTCCTCCTCCAGACTAGCCAGATGAGGGAGTTCACACATTTAATTGGTTTCTTTGGGAAATTAATAGATATTATAGCAATCTGCTCTCCTTTTTTTCAGATCTATGCTTTCTTAGAACAGCTACAGCATTTGTAACCTTCAACCTGTAAATGCCTCTGAAGGGATTGGTCTACAGGAAACAGGGAGGAGAAGGAGGAAGTAAAGGATTCTAGGGCCTCTTGAATCTAGGGATTCAAAAATCCTTGGATCATACCGTCAGCCATCCTAGCACACCCACATTGGCTCTGTTTAGAATAAGAACTCACCTATTTCTCCATTCACGACAAGTCTCAGAGTACCAGGAAGAGGCTGGAAAAATTAGCAGATAAAAAAGATAAAGAGCTCACCAACCACTGGTGAAACCTCAACAATTCCTTCCCAACAGCATCTCACACAGGTATTTCACAGGTTTTTGGACATGAATGATTTACTGCTCTGGCCAGGGAGGAGGCATGATTTGTCCTATCCCTTCCAGAAGTGAACAGTCCCTCTGGAAAGAGGCTCTAAAGAGACCAAACCCCCCAAAGCCCAGCCTGCAGGAATTTGCTGTTCTGTAAACAGGTCTCTAATAGATGCCAAGATTGATATAACACACAGTGAGAAGTCACTTGCAGAAATCACAGTCCTGCTTCTGTGATGTTCCTGCATTTGACCAAGGTGAGGGAGCAGGGGGAAGCACTGAGACACTCTATCAAAGTACTGGAAAACACAACTTTCACTGTTTTGTATTGTATTTCACTGATTTGTATTCACTGTATTGTCAAACAATATTTGAGCAAAAAAAAGATTGCAGTTTAGATAATTCAGTGAGAATGGAAACTGCATGAGTCAGAGTCTGAGGGGCTGTTTATTTGCACAAAGTGGCACATAGAGCTGTTTAATACTGAAGAAGTTAACAGCAACCACTGCCCCTGAAGGCACAAACCCTCCTTCCTTCTCAAAGTACTAGAATCACAGGCCTTGAGGCACTGCACAGAGACTGCAGTGTTCAGCAGGCCCTGAACGGGCAGGATGGATCTCTGCAGACCCCAAATCCTCTGCCACTTGTCCCTTCTGACCCAGTTTTCTGCTTGAAGCCACAAAGTAAAAGCTGCCAAACCCCTCCAGAGCAAAACAGTCTTTGGAGACTGTGCTGCAAGTGCAAACTGTGTGAGCCAGGTCACCAGACCCCCAAAGACACAGAGCTCCAGTCCCTGCCAGTGCCTCTGAACTCACCATTTCAAAGTCTGAGCCCACGAGCCCACTGAGGTAATCCCTGTGCCGCCCGTACAGCTGGGAACACACACAACAACAACAACAACAAAAAAGAGTGGCACTTTGATTATATCTGCTGTGATGTACTGCAAAACTTAAACTGTATATAATTTAAACTCAAGTCATTACCAGGCTTAGCATATGTGGGGTTGTTACAACAAATATGGAGAATATAAGTGTCTAATAGAACACTGATGCATAACTGCTAACACTGCACAGAACTTCAGCTTTGGTTCTCCTAGGTCAGTTTTAAGGGAAAAGAAGCTCTGAAGAATCAGATCTTAAATGATATCTGAAAAACACAGGTACAAACTATTCCAAGGAAATGGCCAGGCAGAGATCAGTGTAGTGAAATCATGATTTCCTTGGTGACCACAAAACCAGTAAGGAAATGCACAAGTAAAAATCTAAACCAAAAAGTACCTTCATAAACTGTCAGGAGACAAAAAGACAATTCAGAAAAATCGAGATGTGAAATGGCATCCCAGTATCCTGGGATATTACAGGTAACAAGACATCATTTAATAAATATACAGGCAGCAAGAGGAAGATTAAGGAAAGGGTTTGCCCACTGCTCAAAAGGGAAGGAAAAACACTGGCAGGTGACACTAGGAAGGCATGGAGTTGGGTGGGGTCTTGCATCAGTTCTCACTCCTTAAAGCACTGCAGCCAGAGGCAGGACAACTACAGACAAGGTCTCTTTAAGGGATGAAGCAGAGAGTATTTGCTGTAGTCCTCAGATCCCTGAGCATGATGAGGCTCAGGGCAGTGACATTTTGTCCCTTCAAGTGTGCAGAGCACCAGCAGTTCCATCTCCATGATGATCTGAGCTGCCTCTGTTACTCAGAATTAGTGAATATGCTCCATGGCCAGTACTTACTTCTCTGAACACGCGCTGCTCACGCTCCTCCTCCTCTGGCTGCACCTGGGCAGATGCATTCTCAATGGTGTATTCCCACACCTCTCGCTTCTCTCCATCCAGCTCGATCCTGCAGAGCCCCAAAACACATGGGAAAAACTCCCCCATTATGCAGAGAATAGGCACAGGGATCAATGGGGCCCTCCTGAGCCAGCAGTGTCCCCTCTACCCAGCCTGTGCAGTGACACAAGGGCACTCACAGCCCTCTCCTCACTCCCAGGTACCTGCCAGCATCATTCCCTCAAAATGGAAGACTTGCTTGCATCCACCACATGCATAACGTAATTTTCCAAGGGATGTAGTGATAGAACAAGGGGGAATGGCTTTAAACTGACAGAGGGCAGGGTTAGATGGGTATTAGGAAGAAATTCTTCCCCCTGAGGGTGGGCAGGCCCTGGCACAGGTTGCCCAGAGCAGCTGTGGCTGCCCCATCCCTGCAAGTGCCCAAGGCCAGGTTGGACAGGGCTTGGAGCAGCCTGGGCTAGGGGAAAGTGTCCCTGCCCATGGCAGGGGGTGAAATGAGATGGGCTTTAAGCTCCCATCCAACCCAAACCATTCCATGATTCCATGATAACCTGCATCCCCAGAGATTTGCCCCAAAGCCCCACACAGCACACACACAGTGATACTGAGCGTAAGCACACAGTAATATTTCCCTAGAAATCTCTGAAATAAATGAAATATTTCTCAAATTAAGTGCTGATCCCCTGCCCAAAGGGTGAGCAGGAAACAGCCATTTCAGCCCCCAGTCCCAGGAGAGGTCCCAGTCCTGCTCCACTCACCGGTAAGCTCCTTTGGTGCCATTGAAGTCAGGCTTCACTGTGATCACCCCATTGCCATCCACCTTGATCGTGCAAAGCACATTTTCGTACTCCCTCTGACCAAGCCTGAAGGAGGACACCAGGAAAACACAGTCTGAACAGAGAACACGGACACTCTCTTGCTCTGGAACACCAGAGCTGGTAAAGGAACTTGGGGGTACAGAAGGGAACACATACACACTTTCCTACATTGGTTTAGAAGCCTTTTGGATGCACACACTCAGCTACCTCCCAACTGAAGAAAGAGGAAGAAAGAAATTGCAGCCCTGAGCAATTTACTGAGCTCTTGGAATTCTCCCCCCTTAACTAATGAGAGAAACAGGAGTTTTGAGTAAGGAGGAAAGATGGATTTTCTTTTGGAAAATTATGATCACTTCAGGATTTTACTTACTTCCCATAAGGTCCCAAATCCCCCATGATGTACATGGTCTGGACAGGTGTGTTAATAACATGATTGTTCTTTATAAACTCTTCTGAAGGTTCCCAGGTGATGATTTTTGACTTCAGAGAACTTGCTTCTCTGTCAACAAGAGAACAGCACCAGTCACAGCTCACCTCAAACCCACCATGATGAGGAGTCACAGAGCTGGATTACATGTGTGATACAGCACAAGCCACCAGCTCCCACAGACCAGGCACAATGAAACCTGCATGAACAAGCTCCAAGCTCAAGTTTGAACTCACACAGGCCTACGGTCCTGTCTTCTCCTCCTCACATTGGCCATCCTCTCGACCAGATACGATGGCTCTTCGTGATCCAAGTCAGTTACCTTCTGGCAGAGCTGGAAGAACAGACAGGAACTAGCTTAACTGGATATCTTTCCCAAACACAGCTCTCCTCTTAGAGGAGGGAACAGATATGCACACAACCATGTGCAAGGACAACTTGACTGCAGAATTCCTTCACTTTTCTGATGACAAAATACAGCTCACTCCACCCAGCAAGCTTCCTATAGAGCAGTGCTCCTACACAGCCAAGTCCCTCTGGCTGTCCTGACCATCACTCTGAACCAAGGACATCCCACCCTAGGTATGGGGCACCAGGGGAAATTGCTTTGCAGCAGTGTGTTCTCCTGCACTCAGGGTATCTGCCCAGCTGAGAACCAAGAAACGCTCCCTCTGCAGTAGGACTGGAAGTTGTGACAGACACAGAGTAACTAAGAGCTGGTACCTCCTCTAGGTTGGTGAATCGGTCATGGTCGGTGTAGGTGAAGATGCGACTGTTCTTCCGACCTCCAGCCTTCTCCAGTTTCCGGATCTCCTCATGGTACTGCCAGTCCAGGGGAGTCTGGCAGGCTGACTCATTCAGGTACAGATCCACCTCAAACTGACAGCACCACAGGTAAAGCACAAACAGCTGCCTTTTAACAGCTTTGGAAAAGCCACAAACGTTTTTCAGCTTTTTTCCAAAGCCACACCAGAGACAAGACACTTTGGGAATACCAGCAAATAACCAAGCTCCAGAGCAGCTCCAACACTGCTCAGGCATGTGGCAGCCAGCAGCACCACTGATGCCCACCTGGAAAGCTTTGGGCACTGTAGCTCACCCTGAAACAAGGAATCCCACACTGAGGTGCACAAAAAGGGGTGTCAGGAAGCTCCCCCAAGCCTGTTCAGTTCTGGACAGGACAGGAGACACATAGAGCTCCTGGAGCAGGTTCAGGAGAGGGTGACAAAGTTCATCATGAACACCTTTCTTACAATGAAAAGCGGAGGGAGCTGGGGCTGCTCAGCCTCGAGAAGAGACATTGAGAGGGTACCTCATCCCTGTCTGTCAGTGTCTGCAAGGAGGGCACAGTGCATGGATGAGGCTCTGCTCCTTGGGGACCAGAAATGGGACAAGTGGAACGGGCAGGAACTGATGCCCAGAAAGTTCCACCTGAACACAAGGAAGAACTTCTTCCCTGTGCCGTTACCAAGCTCTGACCTGGCTGCCCAGAGAGGGCGTGGAATCTTCCTCACTAGAGGTATTTCAAAGCCACAGTTCAGGACACAAGCCTGAGCAGCGTGCTCTGGGGTCCCTGCCTGAGCAGGGGAGTCAGACTGGATATTCCCGTGACCCCCTCCGATCTGACCCATTCCGCGAAGTCCCTCCCGCCCTCCTCTCCGTGCACCCACCTGGCTGAAGAGCTTCTCCTGCCACCCCACCTCGACCTCCTCCTCCTCGTCCTCCGGGGGTCGCTGGGCGCCTGCGCGAGAGCCCCCGGTAACCCGCAGCGGCACCGCTCCCGCATCGGCGGCGCGGTCGGCCCGGCCCGGCCGCTCAGGGCCGGCGAGCGGCGGCACCCGCGGCAGGAGAGGCCCGGCCGGCGCGACCCGCTGGATACGGACCCTGCGGGGAAGGAGCGGAGCGTCAAGGTTGTGCGGACCGGAGGAGCCGGGCCGGGGCCGGGCAGGCGCTCACCGTAGGCGCAGGTTGCGGATGGGGTCCCGGGAGCGGTACACGGCGGGGTCCCGGGAGCGGCACACGGCGCTACCCCCGCTCCGCGCCGCGCCCGCCATGGCCGCGCTCCGGGAAACCGGCGTGCACGGGCGGGCAGCGCCCCCGCGCGGCCGGAGCCTCCCGCACAGCCGGGCCCGCTCCGCGCACGGAGCCCGCAAAGCTGCGCGTGATGAGATCGTCCGTGTGAGGGAGGGTCGTACACACCTCTCCGTGTGAGGAGGGGTCCTACAAACGCTCCTATGTGAGGGAGGGTCGCACACATCACTCTGTGTGAGGGCTGCCGGTCCCTGGGGTGATTCCCCACAGCCTCAGTGTGAGGGAGGATCCCACGCACCCTTCTGTGTGAAGGGGGTCCCACACACCCCTGCAGGTGAGGGAGAGTCCCACACACCACACTGTGTGTGAGAGGTGGTCCCACACAACCTTCCGCGAGAGGGGTCGTTCCATACACCACTCTGGGTAATGGAAAGTCCCACACACCCCTCCGTGTGAGGGCTCCCGGCCCCTGGGAGCAATTCCTCAGCCTCTGTCTGAGGGAGGGTCCCACACATCACTCTGGGTAATGGAGGGTCCCACACCCCCCTTCGTGTGAGGGAGGGTCTCACACACCTTTCTATGTGAGGGGGGTCCCACACACCTCCATGTGTGAGGGAGGGTCCCACACACCACTCTGGGTAATGGAGGGTCCCACACACCCTTCCCTGTGAGGGAGGATCCCACACAACCCTCTGTGTGAGGGCTCCCGGCCCCTGGGGTGATTCCCCACAGCCTCTGTTTGAGGGTCCTCACGACCCCCATAGGGAGGTCTCCATGTCCTTCTGTGTGAGGGTCCCCACAGCCCCTCAGGGTGTCCCAGGGCCTCCAGAGAAGGGTCTCCCGCATCTCCCCATGTGAGGGACACACAGCCTGTCTGTGAAGGGGGACCCACCACATCCCTCCACAGGAGGCCCCAGGACAAAGCCCCCCAAACCAACAGCCCCATGGAAATGCTGAGGGACCTCAGCAATCCAAGCTCCAGGCCCACACCTGTGTGTAAGGAGCCACCTGAACCTGCCCCTCTCTGGGGTATTTCTGACCTCCTTCCTAGTCTGTCCCTGGATCTTCATGGGCAGCAACAGTACCCTCATGCTGTTGCCAATTTTAGGAGCTCTCTAAACACAGACACAGTCTGTTTTAAGAAAGAAGGCATTGTTTCTTCTCTGCAGGGTGCAGAGTGATTTCCACCAAGCACACTGAGGCATAAAAAGTTATCCATGTGCACCAGCTGTATAAAATTAATACTACTTAATATCAGACAGGTAAACCCAATATCTGTCAAAAAGACGTTAGTAATAAAATCTATACACCTTTTTGGCTTTGTGTTGAACCTTCATGGATCAGGAATATACATGTTTGTATTTCCCAGTCTCAAATATTCCTGTCCCACTGGAATCCCATATCCCATTCATGTTTTCCTTGCTGTTTGCATCCTTTTGTCCCTTAAGAAATCATCCCTTCTGTGAGTAGCCTTTAATTAGTCTGACTTGCAAACATAAAGAAATGGTGTCAGAAGAAGCCCTTTCCCCCTCTATAAAAATTTTAAAAGCTTTTGGGATTAGTTTATTTCAAAGCTATTTGTCATGAGAAACAAAAATGCATGAGGGCACCTCTCATACTTTTAGCTGCAGTAGTGGTAACTTTTGCGGGTTTTTCTCTTCCTTTCTGTTTGTTACTTTACTGCTGTGAAATAAACTCTTCCATTGAAATCTGTGTGTTGACAACAGGAATTTATCACAATTCTGTCTGCAAATAGCATTGGAAAACAGCCGCTATATTAAAAAAAAAACAAAAACACATAAAACCAAAACAACAACAACAAACAAACAAAAAAACACACACAAAAAAACCCCCGAACCCAAAAAACAGTGAGGAGGAAATAATAAATCTTAAGCAAGTTTTTCTTGATAAGGAAAGAGGATGAATGGAGTCTGCCTCTGTTCAATGGTGCTGAGTAATAAGCAAACAGGCAATGGGCAGAAGTCAATGCACATGAAGTTACACCTACAAATGAGGCAGAACTTTATTGTGTGAACCACCAAGCACTGAACAGGTTGCTCAGAAGAGTGGAGTGTCCCTCACTGCAGATATTCCAGAACCCTCTGGATGCAATCCTAAGCAATGTGTCCAGGACTGTGGACAGCCAGGACTGAACATGTTTCACCTCAGATATTCGGACTGTTAAAACAGGAAAGTTCTGATGGAAAGTGAGGATCCTGCAGAGGTGGGGCAGCGCTGTTCTGAGCCAACTTCCTGCTCTGCCTTGAGAGTCATGCTCAGTCCCCACCCCAAGTCACTACCTGGAGAAAGGCTGTGCATGCACCAACGAAACAGGTGGAAAATCTAGTTTGCATAAGAGGCAGGCACACAGGTGAATTATAAAAGGAAGTGGATCTCCTCTCCTTCCCCCTCCACACTCTGTCTTGCGCCTTCCTCTCCTTCTGTGTCTCTTCTTTGTCTCTCAGCCCCAGATCTGGACATGCTGTGTGGCAGGACCAACACAAGATCTATGGACTGGTGATATTCTTTTTCCTCCCTCTCTCTCTATTCTGTGCCTGTGTTTCCCCACCTAACAGGGTAGGGAGGCACAGTCCTGAGGGTGAGCAAGGTCTGGTCTCCTCACTCAAAGCCAAGGGATCAATGCAGAAGTCCTCTGCAGCAGACCTGTGTACCCTGTGCAGCTGCCAGTGCTGGAGCAATGTGGATCATCTCATCCAAGGTGCTGCAAAGCCCAGGCATGGAGAACATCTCCTCCAGAGAGCACTGCAGACCGTGGCAGTGCTGAGTGCTCCTTCAGCAGGGCTGGCTTAGCACTGGGACGCGCCCAGTCCAGCCCTGACAGACCCAGGTGGTGCTGCAACACCAGCCCTTCCCTCTGCCTTCTCTTTGGGTCGCCTGGGCAGCCCAGCAGGGGACTGAGGTGGTGTTTGCTGTGGGGTGGGAAGAGCACGGTGGTGGGAGCTCTGGCTTGGCCAGCTTTGGCTGCTGCGCATCTTCCACACCCACTGGGACTCATAGGTGTGGTGGGATGGAGGGCCCTGCTCCTCAGTGATGTCCTGTGGTTTTTTCCATGCATCTGGCAACCAGAGAGTCTCCAGGGTCCTCTCACCACCAGAGCAAGCCCTCACGCTGTCAGCACCTTCTATATAACCAGCTATAGCTTAATTATGACAAGTGGAGTAGGTAGCAGAGTGTTTGAGCACTAAATCGTGGTCTAAATTTTCACATAAATAATAATTTAAACCATTTTCTACACTATTATTTAAGTAATCTTCAAACCATGGTCAAATCCCTGTATAACAAATATTCAATTCTTGATTGCTCACTATTTGATTACTCTCTCATTTTCATTCAGTCATTGATTAATTACCATTAGATCATCATTTGGTCATTAATAAAATGCTTTTAGTCAGCCCCATATCAATGACTTTTCATAATAATTTCCTTGTGACACACATACATTCACAGATACATTTCCCTTTACACAGTCACAATCAGATACAGTAAGTGACACTGTGACCAATCATGGCAGCATGACAGATGGAGGGACTGTCACACATAATGGTATTGATGTAAATACAGCTGAAGACAAGGTTACAGAGGTGCTACAGACCCCAGTCCAGGTATGGTTACACTGCCAGCAAGTGTGACTGGATGAATGCTGGGATCCCATTTCCTTATCCCTTACTGGCTGTGAGGGTTCTGTGGGCAGGGGCCACGGTGTTCCCTGAATGCTAGGGCTGCTGAGATTCCCAGGAACACCTCTGCTTTGGGGCCAGAGGAGTGTGATTCTTTCCTGGCATATCTCCTGCCCCACAAGGTGTTTCAGGTTGTAAAGAAATCAGAATGCCATCTCTGATGGGGTTAATTCCACCTCCCTGCCAAAATGCAGAGCAGAAGGGGGGATCTTGAAGCTTCCAGGCTTTCTGCTGCAGGGTCAAGACTTGAGAAACATTGCCAAGATGGTTTTGCTTGAAATTTTTCCCTCACTTCAAGCTCCTGTGCAGGCACTGGAAAGGCAGTGGCAGAAGCCCATAGCCCCTGCTAGTTCTAACACCTTCTTCTTGCCAGCCAGGAAAGTGCCTCTCAGCTGAGAGCATGAGTAGGACCCCATGCTATAACTTCTGAGTCTTTATAAGAACTGTAAAGCTACTCTGAATTAAATAAGCAGCACTGTTGGCACTTGGTGCTTTTTCCATGCTAAAGCCTCTCTCAGTTGGGAATGTGCTTCACTGCCTGTGGCCTATGCCCTTGCTCAGCAGCACTCATACAGCAACAAAACACCCATCTCCTCCTGCTGTGTTTTTTGAGTCCATGGGTTGTAAATTCTTTACAGAAATGCACTGCCAGATGTCTTAGGATATAGGGAAAAAAATGGGATACTTTCTTCCTTGTTTCCTGGCTCCTCCTTTTTCTGGACTTCAAATAAAATTCTCCACTAGCAGAATTACCTGAAAGTTTTAAACTCTTTTCAAATAGTTGGTGAGGTTTGCAGGTGATGGATTGATTCCAGAGTGAGACCCCAATAAAATTACAGGTGACTAACAATAACACCCTGAAAATTGGCCACTGCAGCCTTATTCCAAAGTTATAACAGGGTCTGTACAGTATGATCTGTGATATCCTCCTATTTTCTTTTTTTTCAAGATGGGCAGAAATTTCTGTCAAGAATAAAAAACTTGAGACTTTCCATTTCTCCAGCAGTTTTGGGGCCCTGTGCAGTGCAAGGTCTCAGCATCTAAAATATCTGTGCAAGAATGGCTGGTGCCTTGGGCACTGTGTGGCTTATTTCTACAGTGGGTGCTGAAGGCACTGGCTGCTCCCATGGGTTTCACTGTCCTCCAGCAGCTGGAAGGAGAATAATTCATTTGAAGTTTGCTTGGAAGAAATCTCCAGCTGCAGAAAGTGCATGGGGCTCAGCCCAATGCTAGTGTGGGGCAGGGACTGATGAAGGTGTTACATTCATTGCCTTGTTTTTCAGAGGTGGCTGCTACCCAGTCACATGAGGTGCTGCAGATGGGCA